GTTTTAAGGGTGGGGGCTTCCAGTCTCCGTGACCCTTAGGCAGTGGAGTTCACAATTGTGATCAGAACAGTCACTGTCAGGCATTGTGGGAGGTGTGTTAGGGTGACAGAGAGAGATAATTTGAGTGGCACAATATCTTTTATTGGACCAACTTCTGTTGGTGAGAGAGACAAGCTTTCGAGCCACACAGAGCTCTTCATAAGGGTTGACATAGGTCACACAGTGTCTACACTTGCACTGTGTCAACCTCTATCACTCAACCATGCCTGATTGCTGTTCAGGGAGGCAGTTAGGTTGCGTAAACTGGGTGCTTCTCTTGGCCAGAGATAAATATGAGCGTAGACTCATGGACAAATAGGTTTGACATGAGATGACTTACACTAACCAAACTTCGTAGTGTAGACCATGTCTCGTATACTATGGTGATGAGTGTAGTATCAGAACCTACAGAGTACAGAATAGCTGCTGTGTGCTGAGCTCTTTTAAAAACTGGCTCTAACTTTATTTTTAGACACCTAAGTAAGTGATCTGCTTTTTTTCCCAAAAGTGCTGAACACACAGCAGCTTCCGTGTCTGCAATAGCAACTTCAGGCACCTGTTTTTTGGTGGTTTTTTTGGTGAATCTTGTTTTAGGAACAAAAAGGAAATAGTTAGAACACCTCTCCACATGCTCCTACATAACTTTATAATTTAAGAAAGAACTGTGGAGAATGAGCTGTGAAGCCCTTGCTCTTCCTCCTTCCATCGCACCCTCTCTTCTACCAGAAACTGCAAAGATTAGAACACAGAATAAAGTCTAACACCTGTTTGGATGCAAGTGGGATGGAGAATAAGCACCACTGAGTTATCTGGCTTTCATCTTGGTTAAACTTTCATATAAAAGATGAAAGTTAAAGGGAATTGGAGAGGGTGAGAGTCTCAACAATTGGTGGTTGTGTATGCAAATTCCTCTAGATTTGAGCTTCCATGTAAATCTGGTCTTTTTGCTCAGTGATCAGCCCATGAACAAAGTGAGATCTGCAACATTCCAGATCAATATGTGCAGTTCAGAAGGTGGTGGATACCTCCACCATAAATACATTAACAGTGCATGCTTAACCTGTACAAGTATGTGGAACGTGAACACTTGCTAAAGTTGTAATTAGTGAGGGAGATGTGTGGGATGTAGATAGTGTTTCCTTAGCAGTCACAGTCTGAGACAGAAGGAAGTGCCTTGTGAAGATGCCAGTTTGTCAATGGCAGTGTGTATGTGTGGATGCGCGGGCATGGTTATGAAGTATTTTGTAACCTGGTATTTTCTTGCTGCTTAGGCCATGGGTGATTTCCAAATGGAAATATTATAAAATGGAATATTTCATAATATTTCAAAATGGAATATTATAGAATATGATGATGGGCGATCACTCATTACCGAGTATGATCATCTTCCAGGGGAGTTATGCATCCTCAGGTGGCTAATAAGGCCAATCCTTGAACCACAAGTTCTATTGCAATGAGGGCAAATCTTTTCAGGCTCAGCAGATTGTTGACCATGACTGGAAGCCAGTCTCTCCTTCCTTCTGCGCCTCTTCTCCTCTTCAGCTTGTCAGCGAGCAAGTTCAAAATGCAGGGGACCATCACGAAGGACTTCACTCTATTTTAAGCGATCCTGGGCAAATGTCTCCCAAGTGTCAATGTCAATATTACTTTTTTAGGTTGTCCTTCAGTAAGTCCTTAGAACGCTTCTGTTGTCCACCCACGTTATAGTACCCTTCTTTCAACTGAGAGAAAAGGACGTGTTGTGGGAGGCGATGGTCTGGCATCTGGACAACGTGACCAGTCCAGTGGAATTGCTGACGGACAACCTATAGACACCACTTGAACGTCCTTGAGAGGCACCATCAATGCTGCCTTCGTAAGATTCTGAGGATCAAATGGGAAGACAGGTGCACCAATATTAGTGTCCTGGAAGAGACACAGACCACCAGTATTGAGGCAATGATCATCCGTCAGCAATATAGAATATATATTACAGGGAAATACTATTTTTTAACACGGCCGAGGCAAACTGACATTTCCACAGGAAGGATCTTTAGACTAGGCACCAGAGAGCTGATGGATCTTCAGGGTAAAGAAGCCCCATGGGGCTGACGGCCAGTAAGGGCAGCGCACCGTGCCCGAAAGCCTGGGGCTGGCGGGGCTGGGTGCGAGCAGCCCGGGTGTGTCACGCCCACGTGTCTCAGGGCAGCGGGTGGCCGCTGTACCGCTCGCCCGGTTCGATGCCCGCTCTAGAGGCCACCAGGCGGGTGGAGGCGCTGGGGAGCGCGGTGCGGTGACAGCTCGCGCTCCGCGGGCTCGCCGAGCTCAGGCAGGTGGCGGGGCAAGTTTTCACCAGGCTTGGTGACGGGCTGGGTCCACACACGCCCCCCGTGACATGGAGACAGCGGGCCCCGCTCCGCCCAGGGAAGGCATCTGCCGTTCCCCAGCCTTTCCCTTCCCCCTTTTATTAAACGGGGTTTTCCCTCCGCCGCCCGCTTAGCTCGATGTTACCGCCTCCGCCCCGCTCTGCTCGGGGAGCGGACCCTGAGAGCACAGTGAAGGCAGAGAGGCTTCGTTGCTGCCAGTGCGCATGCTTGGCTGTCTCGGGCATGCGTATTGGTAACGACTCACAACGAGGGAGCCGAATCTCACGCTGTCCCCTGAGCCCTTCCCGCCCAGGGGCGGGGCGGCCTGACGCAGAGCGCGGCAGGCGGAGGAAGCCCCGGGGAGGAGGCGGGGCCCTTTCAGCGAGCGGCGCAGGCGGCCAGGCCAGGATGCGCCTGGCATCCCGCGGCAGGCAGCCCGCCACCCCCGTGCAGCGCCAGCCGCCTCTCCTCCGCTCGGGCCCGGGGCGCTGAGCCGCCCCCTCCCCTCGGCTGCGCCATGGCGGCCCCCGGCAACATCGTGTCCGTTATGGCGAGTAAGACCAAGACCAAGAAGAAGCACTTCGTGGCGCAAAAAGTGAAGCTGTTCCGGGCCAGCGACCCGCTGCTCAGCGTCCTCATGTGGGGGGTCAACCACTCGGTAAGTGCGGGGCTCCCCGGCCTCCCTCCCTGCGCCGGGCTCCCCCAGCGCCCGCCCCCTCCGCAGCCCCCTGACCGCCCAGGCAGCCGGGGACCGGGGCATCCATCCCCCTCCTGCGTGGGGGGCGCCTCTCGGGGGTCCCCGCGGGACGCGACGCCGCGGGTGACAGCGGGTGTGCGGCGCCCCGTGCCGGGCTGGCGGGGAGCTCCGGGCGTCATGGAGCTGCCGGGGCCGTTCTCGTGGCCGGGCTGCGCCGCTCGCCGTGGGGCTGCTGGCTCGCAGCAGTTACCGTGACCGGCCGTGGCGCAGGGCAGCGCGGTGGCGGGATCGGCTCGGGCTCTTCTGCCAGTCCGCTGGCTTCGCCGCCGTTGCTGGTGACGGATGCGGTTCGCGGAGCCGCGGTGAGTGTCAGGCAGCAGCAGAGAAGCGGCTGCTGTAAAGGGGAGGGGGTGAAGGAGGCTCGCTAGCCGCAGCCGGTGCAGCCTCCCTCCCCCGCCTCGAAAGCACGGGTGTTAGTGTCTGAGCCAGAGAGCGAGCTGGGGAAGTCGGGGAAGCGCCGCCGGCTTGCAGTGCTGCAGTGCCCTGTGTCTGAATCCGTGATAGCGGCTTGTGGAGCGGAACCCGTGCGGTATTAATCTGATTATACGGAGGAGGAGGAAAGCTGAGACATGATCACTGGGGCTGGGCAGAGCCATAAAAGTTTGCATGTCTGCATGCATATTGTCCCTGATCTGTCCTGCTGCTGCAGCAGCCGGGTGGGCGAAAACTATTTCGCTTCTCATAGCTTTGAGGTCTTCAGGGGCTATGTGTGTTATGTACACGTCTCACCTTCCCATCCCTCCCCCATTGTGTAACTGTGACGATTGTTTAAAACGTGAGACTACTGGGGTCTAATGTCTGCATTAAACCTTTCTCCAGATAAGGAAAGGTGACTGCATAGCTGATCATGAGTGCCCGAGGTAGTCTGTGTCCCATTGATCAGTGATGCAATGTATTAAGCAGTAGAGGTGTCCATTAAGTCCCAATATTTCTCATTATGATTTGGGCTGTTGTACCTTCCCAACAAGATCTGTTCTTAAGAAGCGTGCATATTGGATGTACTATGGTAATAAAAGCAATTATATGCTTTTAATATCTTGAGTTCTGGTACCTCAAAAACAGTTTAAGCAAATGTTTGGTTTTTGTTGAGATTGAAAAGGTTTTTTGTGTGCTCTTGAGATGGTAAAACTGCCAAATGGCAACATTTGCCAAGTGTCATACTCTGCAGGTGATATGCTGTTATAACTACATGCTGTCAAGGAATTTAATGTAGCCAGATACATAAAAACTTACTGTGGCTTCTGAGTGTTTAAAATTGGGAGCCTAATAATGAAGGTGTCACATGCATGGGGCATTATGTGACTCAGGACACAGCTTTGCATCTTTAAATAGCTAATGCAGAAGGCTAATGATGTAGAGTCTAAAGATCACCTAAATCCAGACACTGGGGAGTAAAGTCAAAAGCTTTTTGGTCTTCTATATTAGTTTTTTATTGGTTATGTTAGCTCTGTACTGTCAAACATGATATTCTCTATTAATGGAGTGTCACACAATTGATACTTTAGTATTCTTGCAACTAATTAATAGGAGATATAGCTTGAGATCACTGGATAAGCAGATGTTTCCATACAACAATAAAGGCAGTCTTACTACTGTACCAAAAAACAGACTCTCCTTGCCATGACACCCAACCCCTCCGGTCCTGCTTTTTTTGTAAAGTTAAACAAAAGGATTTTTAAAGAAAATTATGAAAAGGTCAATAGCCTCATCCCAAACTATAGTCCTCAGTCAACAATCTGATCATTGGATCATACACCATTTAACAGACTTGACAAACTTGATGAATTTTTTTTTAAAGAAAATCTGTAGGTTCAGATTTCTTTACAATGGTGGGTAAGCTTCATTATCTCCATGGAGACAGTTAAAGTAACTAACTCACAGAGACTGTGACTTGCTTTAGATAGAAGAAATTGGTGGCAGATCTCAAAATAGATTGCAGATCTCCTGAGGGACAATTGTATTTGGTGGCATCCTGTATATTGGACAGGTAAGGGAGGAGCAAGTATCTATTACCTTTTGTCACTATTACTAGTCCTAGCAGAAAAGACCAAAATGTGTCTCCCACCCCCACTCTAATAGTAAAGTAAGTAGCAAACAAGACAACTTCACGTATGACACATCAAATGCTGTTATAGAGCAGTTTGAATTATGTTTCCTTCAAGCTTAAAGCTTTTGTCTATCTGTTAGGGAAATATAGTATAATTTAAGTGCAAATAACTTATGGGTTAGTAAATCTTGCTCATTTCCTTTCTCTCTCTTTCTTCATTTCTTTCATAGCTCTAAAATTAATTCTGTCCCACATATCTTTCTCATTCTGTTCATTGCCCTCTTTTCCTTCTGGGGGGGAAAACGCCTCTCCTTCTTGCGGTTTCTCATTCACCACCTGTGTCGTTTTTCTTCCTAAGGTGCAACAATGGGGAAATAAGGTTGAATCCTTTCTCCACTGCTGCAGTCCTGTCAGGTTCTTCACATTCTATGTCTCTTCGCTACTGCTCCCCACCTCCAAATAACTTGAACGTGTGAATTCTGTGACTGTGGACATGAACAGTTCACTTCCTAGCAGTGTCCTTTGTTTCATGTGCTCTGAAGAGACCGGAGAGCAGAGGTGCTGTCAGTTGGCTAGATACAAGAGTGAGGTGGCATGTAGGGAACTGTGCCTCTAGTGATGAGAAGCAAATTTCTGTGAAGTTATAGAACATGTAAGACAAATCTGGTGTGTATGATGCAAGACTTTAGAGCATAATATAGAACTATTGTATGAAATGCAGAAAAGATGAGAAACTTCCTTCCATTGTGAAAACTATTTTTCTGTGTATGAGGCATTCTGGACAAGAGGATACAGTGTAACATATTGTTCTCTACTTTGAGATGAAAATAACAAACTAAAAACTTGACTAGGGCTCAAGTGAAATATCAGTGTTTTAGCAGTAAACTTACTTAAAATAATCAGTGAGTTTTATGTGAGAAGTGTATGATTCTTTGTTGGCAGGAAGTGGTTCTGAGCATGAATGCATGATATACAAATTTTCCCATTATCTGGTCACAAAAGGATAAACTCATAAAGATTAGAGTGAATAAAATGAATTTATATCCACACTAGCCTGTTGCATTTTCTGTAAATAGAGGAGGAAGAATTTTTAAATGACTTCTCATCTTGGACAATATTGAAGCAAAAGGACATCTGATGAGGGGAACTTTGAGGTTTATCCTGCACAGAAAAGTAACAAAGTAGCTTTCAGCAATTGTACTACAGTGCCAAGATTATGACAATTTGGCAGCTCATAAGAGATCTGAAAGAAACTGGGGGAATATCTGGATTCATCAAGGACAGAGGTTGGAGATACTTTAGAGTCAGTTAATAACAGAATAAACTGGAAACCACGAAAGACTTGGACTATATTAAATGAGTGCTGATATACAAATATTTAAAAGAATGTGAAGTCCATAGTGATAGTAATGAGACTAATTAACCAGACACAGAATAGATTACATTAATTAGAGGAAATAAGACTGACAGTAAGTGTTGGCAATCTGTTTTCGATCTGCTTTCTATACTAAATATGTACATCAACCAACAAGGAAAGGAATAATGCCAGATTTTGAGATTCTGCAATACAGAAAGTATAATAGAAGACAAAAAGAAAGGAGAGAATATGTGAAGCAGTCACTGTATCCTGTATTTGAAATATAAATGAGACAAGAAAAAACTGAAAGGGGAAGGAAGTTGACAATGTGGAGTATATTGAATGAAATCAGATTCAATGAGGGTAGTGTGAACTGGGTGGGGGGTGTTATAAGAAATGCTCTGAAATACTACTTATGCATAGTGATGAGTTTTAATTATTAATAAGGTTCAAAGTGCCTTACTAAGGTATAGTTGTGAATTCCCATTCCCTTGGGGGTGGGGGGGGGGGAGGGAGGAGGGTTGAAATTAAGCAGGATTTTTTTCCCCTGGATCTGTGCTTGCTTTTTTTTGGTCTTCTGTCATTTTGAACTGGTAAAACCACAATATGTTCTGAAAATCTCCTGATGCTAGAAACATCAAGGTTTAATCTGAATCTGTAAATGAAAATTGATCTAAAGTAAAAAGGGAAATTATGAGAGTACTCAGGTTCTGGTGCCTATTAGAAAACAGAGTTCTAGAACTGTCTAGAAGCCTAAATGGAAAGAATAGGTAGTTGTTGGTGACTGGAGAGATAAGCAGGGCTACTTGATGTAGATATGAATTGTTAAGGGGGGGGAGCTTCTGGAAGGTAGGCAAATATCACCTGATTTTTTTTTTTAAAGCTGGCTGAAAAATCTGTTTTGTTCTTTACAGGTGAATTCAGTAGGTGGTTCTTCCATTCTAATCACAGTAAATATGAAAGTTGCTACTCAATAGTGCAAATGCGTGACTAGACTGAATTTGACTCAACATGCCTGTACTTGAGGGATGTGATGGGAAACTAGCAGTTGAATATATTGAAGTAATGTAAACAATTTTTCTAAAGTTAATGTAAACATTGTCCAGAATACTCAAGTAGCAAGAAAGAGAGAGCACTTGTGCTCATTTCAAAATGCTAAAAACTGATTTATTTGGAGTATTGCAGATTAAATATGCTATTGAATGAAACTTGGCCTATTGGAGCAGAAGAGTAAAACATGGAGTTTGATACTCCAGGTGAGAGATTTTTTGATGTCACAATCATGGTAGCCTCAATGATAACTTAAGTCCCATGTTTCATGTATCCCCATGTGCATAATTTAGGAGTAACCTTATCTGTTGGAGTTGGACACTTGAAAATGGCAAAGATGATTTGGGTTATGCTATTAAAACAAATAGGCCTCTATCCTGGCATGGGAGAGAAGGGTGGAGGGCCAAGGTGATTGTATACCACCTTTGTATCTTCTCCCAGAGCTGCTGGGGGTTGGTTTGGTGCCAGGATGAAGTTAGAATGACCCTCTGTCTACTATAATTTATGCTGGTGGCTGGTAGCTTCTAGGACAGGGGTTCTCAAACTTCATTGCACCGTGACCCCCTTCTGACAACAAAAATTATTACATGACCTCAGGTGGGGGGGACGGACGACTGAAGCCTGAGCCTGCTCCAGGTGGGGGGAACCAAAACCCGAGCCCAGTCCGGGCGAGGGGGGGAACAAAGCCGAGGCTTAAGGGCTACAGCCCCAAGCCAGGGGCTGTAACCCAAGTCCCAGCAAGTCTAAGCCAGCCGTGTCGACCCATTAAAATAGTTGTGACCCACTTTGGGGTCCTGACCCACAGTTTGAGAACCGTTGTACTAAGTGGTTGTTTTTGCCAGCTGGGATTTGGTGATGCCCGATAGCACTCCCAGGTACTTTTCAGCTGGCTGCCCTACTTTTGTCTCCTGTCTTGATTGCAGTGTTTAAGAATTTGGATGGAGCAATCTGCAGTTTTCTTTTCAGACAGAAAATCCTGAGCTGCATTCTAACTCCTTTGCACCACTTGGTATATAGGCAATGTGCAGTGGCGGTGTTACTTAATTGTAAGCTCCTTGTTTTGGTTTAATGTATATCTTATTTTGAGCAAATAGGCTTATAAGGTGAATTGCAGTTTGTTTCATAAAATCTTTCGCCCCTCCCCCTAGGCACTAGGAAAACAACATAGAAAGGAGATTATTAGATATCTACAATATCAGGAAGGATGATGGGAAGATTGAGAAAATGCTAAAACTCAATTGTCTTTGAATAAAGACTTTGTTAGATGGGGTTTTAAAGGACTCATTTACACATAGTAGCAGCACTTGCCACTCAAATCCAAACAGGCTATAGGAGCGGATGTGAGATGAGCAGTACAGCCGCTATCATGGTTCACTATGCTTCTGATCCCTTCACTTCTTGAGCTGATATTATTTTTTGTATCCAGTTTTGAGTAGAGAGATCCCTCTTCCCCTTTCCTTAAACAGTCTTCATTATTACTTTAAAAAGTATAACACCTGATGATTTAAATCTGCAGCATTTTGTCTTTTGGCATCAGCTGTCTGCACCACAGATTACTCAAGAAATATCTGTTCAGAGGAGGGAGGGGCCAGGCATACCAACTGTAGTAGCAACTGTGTAGCTATTATTCATAGCAGCCATGAATGCTGTTGTTGTAGTTGTCAAAATAGTAGCTTTCTCAAGAGAAGGAAATGGCAAGACTAGAAGCTGAAGAACTGGATGCGAATTCAAAATATATTAATGATCAACTTGAATAAAGTCTGTAGTATTTTTGAAAGAAGCAGACATTAGAAGACACTAGGCGAAGAATTTCCAAGGGGAGACAGGAGGAAATAAAATGTGGTTGATTACACCAGCGGGTGTAGGTAATAAAGCAGCTAATAAAGCAATTAGAACTATAAAAAAAAGTCAACTGGGCATCATGCCCAGATACACTAAATCCTAGAATACTGAAGAAAATAGCAAAGGAAACAGGAAAGCCTTTACTGGAATCCTAGTTCATTATGCTCTAGGCACCACAAGAGACTTGGAGAGTGTTCGGCTCTTACGTCCTAGGGGGAAACCAGGAAAATACAGACCTGAAACTTGACTTCTGCTGCGTGAAAGGTATTCGAAACTCCTGAAGGAATAGGGATGGGATTGATAATTCAGTAAAGGATACCCAACATAAGTTAATGAAAGGGGGACCATGCATACATGATTTGCTTGCTGCAGAAATGTTGTGCAGTTAATAATCTCTAAAATCCAAATGCATCTGTGATAACACACAAAGATTAAGATGCACAGTAAGTGTGAAACAGGAAGAGCTACTTTAAGACCGATTTTGCTAGATCAGTGGGAAAGCTGTTTCAGTCTCTAGTAATTTATGAGTTTATGAACTAGGATGTTGCAAGGGCTGATCTTTTTCCACTTGACATAGGAAATAGAGAACAATTTTCTAAATTTAACAGACTTATTAACCTTTACAGGGAGAGGCAGGATTAAGCAGAGCAAACAAGTTAATAAGGAACATAGGAATTGTCTTACAGGTTCATGCTAGTGGTTCATCTAGTTTTGTAATCCACTCTCTGATAGAGGGCAATACCAGATGCTGTAGAGAAGGTAGAAGACCCAAAATGGCATGGTACAGAATTAACAGCCCAGAGGAAGAAACTTCTTAAGGTCCATCAGTAAGAGGCTGTCTTATACTCTGAGGCAGAAGGGTTTATATCCCTCCTATTCATTTGGGTGGCTCTTTAAATCCTGTATAATGTAACTGGCTTTTCTCACTGTCCATATAAGTGTCTAATCCTGTTATCCTTTTGGCCTCTAATATATTGTGGGACTGAGTCCCACAGGCTACTGATGCGTAGAGTTACTATATGCTTGCTGTTTTAATGTTAGATGAATCTATATTTTGTTTACCAGCAAGAGTTACTTGCAGGCTAGGGGTAAAATTGTCAATAGAGATGTTTCCAGAGTGGCTTATGGGGAAGTTGTGGAAAGATTGTTATAAATAAAGCTATAAGCTATATACATTATTGGTCCTGAAGGACTTAGTCGAAATTTCTATAACTGTGTGGTTTTCTCCTGGCTTTTAAGGGTTGCCTACGGTTTCTGAGGGGAAAAACTAATGTGTGTGAATTTAGTGCCTTATATTAATTTTTTAATTCTTATCCCCACCTGGTTTTGCTTTGTACTCTGGCTTCTTTCTAAACCAATCATGTACTTTTAGATGCCCCCCTCTAACAAAGCAACCATTAAATTTTCTCCTCCCCCACTTCACTGTATTCCAGCAGAAGTTGCCATGTAACTTATTGTAAATTTAATTGATTTGGTACCTAGAACTTTGCATGGGCTTTATAGTTTAAATCTAGTTTTTTAAATGTATGCCATGCAGTGTGTGACTCAGAAAATAATCTGAGAGCTGATTCAAACTTGAGAGATATTTCTCTCCATACTATACTTGATACCAGACTTCAAGGGGCAAAGTTAGGGTTGGATAGTTGTGTGGGCTGTGTGTGTTTCATAGAGTAGTAATGGATGAAGGGTTATATGGCAGAGGGGAGCTGAACAAATCCCTTATTTGTCCCTTATGGATCCTCAACATTGGTTCTTAAAAGTATAGAATTCTTGTAAAGAATACCTCTAGAGTTTTAGCTGGAGTCTCTTGAAACATTTTTTCAACTTTAATTCTCTTTAACAGTCTGAGACTATTTCCCTCTCTCTCTCCCCCCCCCTTAAAAAATCAGTTTATCAAAGTGCTGCAGGAGGTGAGACTTGCTCTAACTGTCCTTATGAAGTCTGCCAAAGCGGGGCTCCCCATTGCAGACATTAGTTAGTCTTCATGACTAAGTTTCCTGTACTAGCCCATGTCCAACCCAGGTATAACTCTCTCATTCCAGCCCTCTCTTATGGGCTTATTAATTTTGGATAATACTCCCATGTGCCCCTCCATCCCTTGCTGGTCCCTCCCCAGTGTCATGACTCCTTCCTGACTTATGTCTTGCATTTCTTCCCCAGTCTCTTCTGCTGCCTTATCATCCATGTCTTGTTCAGTCCAGCAGTAGCCCAGCCTGGAATCAGCTGCAGGTTGGTTTATATTTTAAGATGGTTGTTTGTAAACTTCTGTTATATATAACAGAGCTGCATGCACAAGTGTGACTTGGCCTATAGCCACATGAAAAATGGAGTGGGAACAAGACAAAAATAAAACGTGTCATGCTACTTTAAGACCCAAGTACCTCTGTCTGGAACACTTCTCTGGCATGGCCCCAACATACTGGAAATAAGAATTGGACTTTCTTTAGTTTGGTTCAAAAATGCTAAATGGCTTGTTTCAGCTGAGGTAGTTAAGTTACAAAGACTTGTAAGCAGTGTAGGCATGCTTACAAAGGATTAACTTTACTTGCTTATGCACAGGTCCGGGTTTTGCTTATTGTCTGAGCCTGGGAGCTTCTGCTTCCTGTTGCCTATCTGAGAGGGAGAAAGGGCTCTGATTTCTCTCATGTGCCCTTCTTAGCTGCTTTGTTCATATTCCTGACCTAATGACCTCTGTGTAACACCTTTTGTGCCCATTACAGGATGATGGAAGGGTCATTCAATATTTGTATCTTCTCATTGTTCAATGTGTGGCCCTAGGCCTTATTTATTGAACCCTATTCAAACTGTGCTCTGAAGATGGAATGATTAATTTCTGCATTGGCTTTTCTGTGGTGCTCATTACAATAGCACCTGAGTCCATGTGGAGTGCAGGGGTGGTAGTATTCTCATTTTACAGATGGGAAGCAGAGGCACTGAGATTATGGTCAAAAGAATCCACTAATTCTGTGTGCCCCATTCAGATGCCTAGGATCTGATTTTTTCAGAGTACTGTATATACTCATTCATAAGCCGAATTTTTTTAGTAAAAAGGGAAGCACCAGAGAAGGGGGTCGGCTTATGAACGGGTATAGAGGGAGAGGTGGGACAAAGCCCCTCCCCCCAACAGAGGGCGCAAGGAGAGGCAGCAGAGCCAGAAGGGAAGAGGTGGGGCCAGAGTCTCTCCACTTCTGGCCATGCTGCTCTCCCCCCAGCCTCTGAAGCAGCTGCAGCTCTGGGGCTGGCAGGCTGCGGCCGTGCCGCTCGGGCCCCCCCTCTTCCCCCCGAGCAGGTTGCGGCCATGCCAGAGACATCCTCCCCTGGCCCTCCCCAGATAGGGTGGGAAGGGATGGGATGGGGAGAGTGTGGGGGTCCTGGGCTAGGGATGGGGTCATGTGGGGAGTGGTCACAGGGGCTACTCCCCTGACCCCCAGCTTCTCCCCCCCGAAAAAAATGTCCCTACCAGTTGCTGTTCCTGCCTGTCAGGGTAAGCAGCTGGCGTGCAGGGACACTTTGTTTACTTAGGTTTACCTCCATGCCTGCAGACGCTCGAGATTAAACAAACCATTTCGGCCCGCCAGTGGCTTATCCTGATGGCCTGGGAGCTAAAGTTTGCTGACCCCTGAATTATAGTGTCGGCTTATGAACGGGTCATAAAAATTTTCCATTTTTACTTATCTATCTTGGGGGGGGGGTGTCGGCTTATAAACGAACCAGCTTATGATCGAGTATATACGTTTCAAAGCACAGCTTCCAGTGACTTAAGTTGCAGGGGTGGGTGCTCGGCATCTCAGAGTAGATCCATCCTGTTCACTGAATTGGGAGACCTCCTGTAGAAAAACTGGATTATATCATAATTCTTATGCGCTAGGGGGACAAATTAAGGTTGCACAGGCACCTTCATTCTGGCATGTCTTAACTTTTCAGTTCTTGAATTTTAAAAATTAATGTTCAGTTTTTTTCTGGGTAATTTGCTAGACTTTTAAAAAAGCAAACTGCAAAAGCAGAAATTCTATCTAGGTGGCATCATATTAGCACTTGCATGAGTCTTCAGCAGGGTTGGTCTTTAGATCGACCAAACAGACCTCAGCCACTTGATCTAACAGAGTAACTGAATGCAGTAGTTTCCTCGCTCTGTGGACCAGCGCTAGAGGAAGATGAGATACACTTTGCTGGGGGTCCCAGTGATACTTGCTGAAAGACTTGGGATTCTTGAGTTCCATTTAAGGCTCTGGAGGGGAGTGTGCTCTAATGAGCACACAGACTCTTCTGCCCACTCTTCCCAAGCTTGCCCCTCATCTGCCTTGTCCCTTCCCCTAGACCTAGTCCCGTTCTCTTTGCCCAGCCAGTTCCAGTTCCCACTTTCCTGGCTCCTCATCCAGTCTCTTCACCCCCTATGTTTCCTATTCTTGCTGACTACAGAGCTGTTAGTGGATGCAGCAATCACAACAAAAACAAAGCCTAACTTTCTGTAGGCATTTCAGAGACTTCCCTCAAACTTCACAATTAATTTTAGATCAAGCTATAGGCAAGGCCATTCTTGGCTTGCAAGTTGCAAAATATGTCAGTCTCTAAAATGGAACCGTGCTTCACCATTATGGTGAACAGTGCTAATTAAGATTGTAAAGCTTTGGACTGCCTCATGTCACCTTTTATAGTGATAAGAGCTGCTTGTGGACAATGGAACATGTTTTCTTGTGCATGTGAGGTGCCTAGAAGCAGAGAGTGGTCATGTAGGTATAAGGAATCAATTCTAAATCTTATACCCGTTTACAAGAGGACTTCCCTTTTCATTAAGTATCTTATGCTTTCTGCATACCACATAAAACATCTGTTTGACACAAAATCTAAAGATATTTAGCTCTTCATTAATCTTGGAGAGGATGTTAAAATCTACATCTCTTATATAACAATAATTATAGCCGAATGCCAGTTCTGTTATAGTTAATGTTCAGGATAGGTTTCTGCGTAAAGCTTGGCTTTTCTAAGTGCTCTAAAAAAACACAAGTTACTCAGATTGTCTTGAAATTTTGTGCACCTATTGGGGGTGCACTTCTTACAGAAATCTTAATTTATACTTTTGAGTCACTTGACACATAGCCAACAAGGGGCATGGTTACTGGGAGGCTTTGCATACATGTCAACTAAATCAAAGATATAAATGAGCAAACCCTAGGTCTCTTGCAGGGAGAAATATCACAAATCCTTATGATATATCCTGGAAAACTTGAGGTCCGGAAACTTTGATGACCATCATACTGGCACACATGGCAAAACTATTTATTTTACTGATTTGCTTCAGATTATTGTGACTAGAAACTGCCCAATGAGTAGGGCCCTACCAAATTCACGGCCAGGAAAAACACGTCGCAGCCTATCTGGTCTCCCCCTGTGAAATCTGGTCTCTTGTGTGCTTTTACCCTATACTATACAGATTTCACTGGGGAGACCAATGTTTCTCAAATTGGGAGTCCTTACTCAAAAGGGAGTTGCGGGATTGGGGGTATTTGCAGGTTATTTTAGTGGTGTCACAGTATTGCCACCCTTACTTCTGTGCCGCCTTCAGAGCTGGGTGACCAGAGAGCAGCGGCTGTTGGCCAGGCGCCCAGCTCTGAAGGCAGCACCCCACCAGCAGCAGCACAGAAGTAAAGGTGGCAATACCATACCGTGCCATCCTTACTTCTGCGCTGCTGCTGGTGGTGGCTCTGCCTTCGGAGATGGGCTCTCAGCCAGCAGACACCGCATTCCAGCTGCCCAGCTCTGAAGGCAGCGCCGCTGTCGTCAGCAGCGCAGAAGTAAGGGTAGCAGTACTGCAAGCCCCCTACAATAATGTTGTGACCCCCCCAACTCCTTTTTGGGTCAGGACGCCTAGAATTAAAACACTGTGAAATTTTCAGATTTAAATAGCTGAAATCATGAAATTTATGATTTTAAAATCCTATGACCATGAAATTGACCAAAATGGACTCTGAATTTGGTGGGACGCTACCAATGAGTTTACAGCATCTTAATGACAAGCAAGGCATATAACACATTGGCTTTTTGGCTGGATCAAGCTGAATCTTAATAGGATGCAGATACACAAATCATAGGGCAGAATCTTTATATTTAAAAAATGCACACTCTGTCTCTTTGTTATGTTTCATAGACAGCCACTGAATCTTTCACAGGTGAATTGCAAGAAGTGTTAGTATTAAGTGTGGTCTCTGAAATTTTGTTCCTGCTGTCTACTTAGTATGCTAAAAATTAGGTATATGTCTGCAGTTGGTAGATATTCAATACCGATACAAAATATTTAAATTTCAAAGGCATTCAAAACTGATTCTAAGTCGCTGTGAAATGGCTCTAATGTATAACTAAATTTCACTATTCCATAGTTATAGGGTAGAATTGCATCCACAATGCTTCTGTGTGTGTATGGTGACAAAAAATAAAACAAAACAAAAATCCTTTTGCAGGAAGCTTATTTCAGTATTAGAAGCTAAAATTTTCCTCTGCATATCTCTAACGAAGCAGAGTTTGAAAGATGATAGACAAAGCCTCTTTGTCTTGTGTTGGGATCCTCTATGTTCAGTGTGTTTTGATTACTGTTCACTTTAGTTGTGCTCACAATGCAGATGGCTTCTGTTTGAAAGTACATGTGAAGCTTAGCATATGGACTTAATTCACTTTTTCAGAAACAATGTTGCCATATTGCATTGAATGTTGCAGTACAGCCACAGTGTAACTGTTTATGTATAGTGCATCGTTGGTATATAATTCACTTAATACAGTAGTTGTTTAATGGATATTTATACTACAGGCCAGAATAATTATTAGCTGTTGGACAATATTTCTATTCTGAGTCTGAAATGTGTAAACTTTTTTCAGTAAGATATGCCTTGAATTATAACAGTAAAGGACTCTGAATGACGTATTACTCTGCCTCCTAGGGATACCAGCCTTGCATTACTCTCCATGACAGACTTTTTGCAAACAAGCCTTTACCAAACTACCCTCTCCCAACACAGCCAAATACTACATCAAACATCTACAACTACTAATGGCGTGAGAGTGAGGAGTGAATAATTTGATAAAGTGGTGTGTGGGAAAGAGGAACAGATTTAAACTTGTTGTGCTTAGTCTGGTGTACAGTAGCTGTGATAGTGGTAAGGTGTGTGCTTGTGGTTGGAGGAGTAAACGGCAAGTACTCCATGGCACCTTAACTTTTCACTTCCTTACTTCTGTGGGTTTGTCAGGTGTGTTGTGTAGCAACCCTAATTGCTTTACAACACTTGTGTATTAACAGGTATTTAATGTTTATGCACATGCCTAGAGCCTCTATACAGGCAAGTATATTGCACAAAACATCCTTCTTCAGTTATGATAGGTGGACTCTGGGATGAAAGTTCAGCTGACGCTAGTAAGACTATATAGGTAGCATTTCTACTAAGGCATAATATTCAAATTACTGCTTTTATGAGGAAGGGCTAAAATACAAAACCCACTTCTTTGACCTAGCATCCCACAAAAATATCAACAAAGATCTCTATATATGATACCATGGAGATGTCTCTTATTGAGTCTAGATAGCTTTTGTATATAATACCTCGAATGATGAGACTGTAAAGTCTAGTATTCAAAAGTTAAGAAATGCCAGAAGCAACATTGTCCATGAAACCTTAACTTGTCCCCCTTTTTGCAAATGCATTGGCAGTCTTAGCCACCTAAAAAGTCTGTGGTAGAGCCAGGAATAGAACACAGCTCCCTTGGGTCCTAGTCTCTTGTGACTAGAGCCCTGCAAATCTGCAGATATCTGCTTTATACCTGCAGGCCATGTTTGCTGCTCACGGATTGGATGCGGATACAAATTTTGTATCCCCGCGGGGCTCTACTTCTGACACTGTAATGTCCTTTCTGTTCTTGTTACTCTCTGCCTCATTCACTGTCCAGATGCACCGAGTGAAGTTGGGGTCCTGTAGAACAAATTGTGTGTGGTCATGTAATTAAAGACTGCATCACAAGTCACTTGCATAAGGAGGCTGAATTAATGGTGCACAAGCGACATTCATTCTGGCATTTCCAAACTTTTGAGTACTTGTTTTTCAACCTTTACATACAAACAATACAGAAGAAAGTTATTTCCTAGTTCCCCTTTAAAAAGGCAAACTGAGGGTGCGTCTATACTTACCCGCTGGTGTGGCAGCAAGCAATCGATCTGGGATCGATTTATCGCGTCTAGACAAGATA